TGACAACATGAAAAATGGTAAACTTTAATGGAAAGATCTTCCCAGTCATTAAATTTGTATTCCGGAGATTCCAAATGTAGGCGGGATGGAAGAAGGTAGGAGGGAGAAGGTGGATTTTAAGTTATACAGCTTGTACCTAGAATACAAATGATTTGAGGCGAAAGTTAGATTGTTGGAAGCAACAAGATGTATGGAACTGAAAATTAACATATCAACAATCAAGGTAGTTGTGTTTGAGAGGAAAAATGCAATGAACAGTTAGTTGCAAGTTATTTAGAAGCAGCGAAACATAAGATCAAATAAATGAATTCATATATCTTAGCAGAATATTTATTAAAGGTGGGGAAATGGGTGAAAAGAAATATTGAGAAGTGCAAAGGCACATATGTTGAAAGGCACGTATGGCAAGGCACGTATGTTGAAAGAGACCAAAATGGCTGCATGTAAGAAGGGTGCTTCTTCCCATTTTGTCCAGTGGAAGTGAGAACTGGGCATGACAGGAAAAATTAAAAGTAGTGTAAATTGAATGCAGTGGCAATGGGATACTTAAGAAGTACAGATCGTAAAGCAAGAAGAGAGAGGTCGAGAATGAATGGGTGCTGAACGAATGTGGGTGGCATACAGAGAGAGGATCAGCATGGCTTAATGTACGTTGGGGGGGTTGGTCATATAGAGAGCACAAAGGAGAATTGAATCAAGGACAAATAATGCAGAAAAAGTGAAGGGAAGGGCTCAGAAAGTTGTGGTTGAATGGAGTTCATGAGAGCCCCAGAAAGGGAGAAATGAGTATTTTAAACAAGAAAAAGTATAACGCCTGTAGCGGAAGCCACGAAGTATTGCAACAGAAGAACAATATGGAAGAGGTACCTATGAATGGTGCTGGGGTGAGTTGGATTTAGCTTTTTCTGATAGAGGTAAATTTTTCATCTTTAATTTCTTTGGTTTACTCTTTCTTACTCCTTTGGGGCACTAGGCACAAAATTGTTTACTCCAAAAAGGAACCGTGTGATGGGTATTATATAAATATAGGTCTGCGGGGTAACTCCCTACCTTTGGCTGTTTGCAGAAAACAGAGTTTTCAAATTTATTTATTTATTTATTTATTCAATTTAGATAGCTGCCCATCTCAGACCAGTGACTCTGGGCAGCTATATGAATGAATGAATGAATGAATGAATGAATGAATGAATGAATGAATGAATGAATGAATGAAGATTATCTTGAACCCAATATTTGTGTCTATCCGTGAGAGAAGTAACAATTCAGTGGTGAGGAAATAATCGTTGCACATTCTCCGAGGGAGGGTTTTCTGTTCTGATTTTCATATCTTGCAGAGTTCAACCTGACACCGAAAATAAATGCCGATGTGCAGATTCAACATCCTGGCACTGATTGACAGCAGATTCTAAATTTGGGGGCTCGGTTGCATTTTCGTAGAGGTGATCTTGCTCTCCGAACCAGGCAGAGGCATTCAGACATATCTTTGATAGGTTCTCTTCCAGCTGTCCTGTTGTAGAAGGTTTTACAGAAGGCAACGGTTTTTTCCTTTTAGGATTTTTTAAAAAGGAAGCAAAATCGATGTGCCCTCTCAGATGTTGTCACTGAGAGGGGAAAGACATTTTCCAGGGAGGATGACAGTATCCCACCCATCAGAAAACAACTGGGCAAGGTTGAAAAACGGATAATACAGGGTAGTGTTTTCCAACCTTGGCAACTTGAAGATG